AATTGGCGCTATACAAATAAAAATTGAATTGAATTGAATTGAATTGAATAGATGCATACTGACAGATCAGCTTTTAACTGGGGAGGGTAGTATTTATCCATTTGATAACCAGTCCAGGTACAGCTCAGAAACGAGAAATGTGCTATTGTGACAATACTCCAAACATTCAGCCTGTGAAAACAAGTGATAATGACAAAACAACAGGAATCGAATGAACAATTCTCCAAAGGCAATGCCACGAAAAGCATGCACTGCATATTCTGGGCAAATTGCCAGCGCTGTCAAACAGAGTCATGCTTCACTGCTTTATCATCACCCTCCACACTCCTTCTGTCTCTTTCTCAATTGATGACTTGTGTTGTATGTGAGTCGACATGCATGTGTGGGAGGAGCAGACACATGGAAGAGATACACACCTGGGCTCTTAAAAGGGTCCGGGCTTTGCAGGTGGTGCTGGAGGGAGGTGGGAGAGTTGCAGGCCGAGCTGGCATGCTCACTGGGTAGGATTTGAGCAGCCGCCTGGGCCCCCAGGGAGCCATAGTCAGCCAGGGAGTAGGGCACCCGCACGTCTCCGCTGGCCCCGGCCACGGAATACAACCCATAATCAGGAAACCCTGGGTGACAGGAGAGGGAGGAGGAGGAGGAGGGGAGGGTATGGGACGCCATCATTGACTTTTATCATAACCTTGATTTTTCCCTGAACAACTAAATGCATGTCCTAGTCTCTGTGTGTTGATGTCTTCCTGTTGTTTCCCCTGTAAAACCTGACCACTGTGTTGTGATCCACAAAAACATCAGTCTAAAACTTATTGAGAAAAAAAAAGAATATACACCAGTTGACAACTACCTATAGTGATGTTTTAAAAGCATCATTAAAAAATAATAATACTAGAAACCAGGCAGAACCAACTGTACAAACAATCCCATCAAGCACCACTGAGGACGTGACTGCAATTGAGCTCATGTGCAATATACAACCAAGGAATCATAGCGTCATGATGAACCAGCACTAAAAAATACATAATTGAATTATATTTAGCTTTCAGAAAAACGTTAACTGAACTGCAGTCAGTGTCCTGTTGCCCGCACTCACAAGCGAGCAACATCCTGGATATTGGCCAAAAGTTACATATACTAGTCTGAACCGTGGAAGATAAATTCATTTCAATAAATCATATTTAAAATAATGTTACTATCTGCAATGTTCCTATATTTTATTCAGACCATTGAGTCCATGCTACTAGTTAGCTTAAGCATACAAATCACCCCATCAGCCAACATCACGAAGCAACCAAGACACAACCCCAGCTAAGCTTAGGCTAACTTACAATTAGTTGGATACCCCTGCCTTATATCCATCGACATATTTAAAGATGGATGACATGTCAGCTCTCCAAAAGTGAAGCCAAAACATCTCGATCGCCCCCTGGTGGCTGTCTGGCTGACTGCAATATTGGTCATAAAACCTGCTGCCTCCATGTCAGCAGATGGGACAAACTTAAAAAATCAAAGTACACGTCAAATAATTTTTTTTTTAATATGGTTTCTGGGATTTTAGATAGTTCTTATCATGCTGATGTACTGTATGTTCAAGTGTTAATTTTTCTGCTAAGTTTGGTTTTAATTATCTATTTGAAGGTATAAAAGGTGGATTTCACATCATGATTGACAGCTGAGCCCTGCTCGACATTGAGTTGGTTGGGAGTGTGAGTGGGACTTCGATACCACGCCGTGAACTACCATCACTATACTGCACAGACTCTGGCTCTGAGTGGTGAAAGATGGCCATATCCAGGATGTTTTGGCTTCAGTGGATACAGTGGGAGTGGAGACGTAACATCCATATTTTATATGTCTACATTTGAATCGCTCTTGGATGGTAGGAAGCAATCAAGTCAACTCAAATTAACTTTTTCTCCTCTATGCAATAATGCGATACACTGCAACAGACACTGGGCAAAAGGTATTGCTGAAAGACCTTTTACTAAAGGAAAATAAGTAAAAGATAATCAAGAAGGATCAATAATTTAGGTCTGGCTGTGCTCATAAATCAATAAGAATGAGCCAGAAAAGTCATATTCATTTTGAATGCGACAATGACAGGTTTGGGAGATAGATGCACAGAAATTGAAAAGAGCTCATAAGATAAGATAAGATATTCCTTTATTTATATATATATATATATATTTATCATGCATTGTACTCTAATTTTAGCCTTGCTAAAATGACTGTCCGCCTGACGGTTTAGCTCTCTATTAACTAGGTTATGTTGATCTTTTTGCTAATGTTAAATGGGGAAACCTAGCGTCATCTGCTAAATTGCTAAATGGATAATCATGACACCAATCCAGTCTCACTCCTAAGTTGACAAATACTGCTGCTTGGTCAGTGGGCCTCCGCTTCAAAATATGACACTGTAGAAATCCAGGATGCGGCCGCCACCATAGTCACATGACGTATATAGTATAAAGAGTGAGAAAGCCATATATGAACGTGGTGAGGAGGATGGATGGCTCAAACAAACACAGCGGATGTTTGTGTCCCTTATAAAAAAACAAAAGTAAGCCGTTTAATTAAAGCGGGCGGGACTTCGATACCATGGTGCCAACCAGGAAATGTTGGCTTCATCTTTGTATAGTGGGAGGAAGTGGAGACACATTACTATAGTAATAATAATAATACATTTAATTTATAGAGCACTTTTCGAAAAACTCAAAGACACTTCACATAAGTTAAAAAGGTAAAAAAAACAACACGCTAATAAATTATAGCTATATCTACAACACTCAACAGATTGATTGAGGGCCACTGACCATGCGGCAATATTTGACAAGTTGGGAGTGAGAACACATTGATGACACCAAACCATCTGAGAAGTAATGTAAACCATTTGGAATTCGACAACCATAGATGGAAAAATCCTTGATAATGGTAAAGCTGCATGGCTGACTGTAAAATACAACTATACTTACAGTAATATTAACATTAAGTCTACATTTAATGTAAGGCTATGTGGATTCTCTTCAAATTATTCTAATTACTTTTTTGAGAAAGTGACCATCCTTCTATCATTATGGTTTATACAACGTGGGACTTACTTAGATCGTTTTGACCATCTTTCCTGTTGGTTACGGTAACATGATAGTCACTAAAGTAATTGCTGCAATCTGGAAACACGGCAACTTCATTAAGGTGGGGCGAGACACATTAGTGTTCAGACATTCTGACCACTTCAGCCAGATTTTCTAAAGCACTTTATGTGGAGGTCAAACTGCCAGTGAGTGCTTCTGAGATGTGGGTAATAATCCCTCATAGGAAAACTCTGAGCTGCAGAGCTATGGTGAATACAGTGAGTCGAAGCTGAAGCAGGAAGTGGCTCTGTAAATTGTGTTTACCAGACAAAGTTTGGCTCATAATTTAAATTCTTGCAGCTTACTTTGCAGCTAACCCTTTGGACCTTTTTTTGTGTTTTCCAGATCTCATCAATGAACTCTGGGGTTAGAATGTTACCATGACTGATAGAACGGATGGAAAAAATAAAGCCCAAGTTGTAATAAGCTTTTTACTTTAGCTTGTTCAGTACAATGGCATTATTATGGTTAGTAGTAAAACTACAAAAACAAGACACAATTTTTACCAAATATTGACCCAAAAGCATCAGAGAGGCCCAACTTCAACCCACAGATGACATAACCTGCATGCATATGTGCGTGACTGCATTTCTGTGGCCTGTTCAATGAGCTTGTATTTCATATGTATTTTAATTTGAGAGTTTTTCTCTCTGTGTTTACAAGCAACAGAGAAACATTTGTTGGCCCAAATCAAAGGGAAACATCTGGAAATCATCATCATGCCATCACAAGTCAAACAACTACACACAGTTCTTACTGATGAGCTATGAACATGTAAACTTGTTCTTGCTGACTCTTTTCCTCTGTCATCCCTATTTTTAACATTGCAACACTATGAATTGTGGGTTATTCCCTGAAGCAAAGTGTGCAGGAGTGCAGACTTAAGGAAAGTGCTCATAAAGGGCTCAAAAAGGCTGTGAGAGAGAGCCCTCGTGTACTTTCCAGTTTTGCAGTGGGACACAGCTAAACCTTCACAGAGCTGTCAGGCACGCGCATCAAAGTCTGGGATCCCACAGAGGATGCTGGGATTAGGCCAGAGTGCCTACACAGTTTTTTGGCTAAAGTCTCTCTTATGTTTCTGGAACTATATTGACATGATGAGTGTCTGCTGTACTGACGATAGTGGAAGTATCCATTTGGAAGGCATAGACTCTGGAGGTAAATAAGATGCATTCAAACAATGCTCTTGTCCAGCTTTGATATTACTTTAGTGTTTTATATTGATGTGTATAACTGGCTTTCCAATAGACTGCACATTCTGCCATATAGAGAAGGGTCCAGCTGCAGCCTTACAGACAGTGCAAACCACCCCCTACAAACGCCCATAATCATAGTGTGTTAGTGGTGAACCTTTTGTTTCCTTTCTTCTGCTGCCCACCAGCTAACTTCACAATAGTGATTGTTGGCACAGAAGGAGTTTGTAAATGTTGGATAGTTGTGTGATCAGATGCACTAGGACTGGGTTCTGCTCACATACACAGAGCTCAGACTGGAGAGGCGGACAGCGAGAGAGAGTTTACGATGGCCGCACCCTGCATGACAGCTTCACCAGTACAAACAGCAGTGTGACAGCTGACGTAAAATAAAAGATCAGATTGGATCAATAAAGCTCAATATAGCTGATTCTGATCAGTTAAAAAATGCATTGAATGTTGCAGACACTGATCTTTGAGATTGAATTGGGACATCCCTAGTGGGTACGTTTGTCTGCTTTCACTCTGGTGGCAGTGTAAGGGGAGGGATTCTCCACAAGATAGACATAAACATCTGGAGTGGAGCTCTGGCAGGGACTGTTTTCAGGGATTGAAATACTGCAGCGGGTGCAAGTTTGTTCACATATCTTTTCTTCTTTTGAGAGATGATATAATATGCATGGCTTGAAATTAATGGATAATTAACATGCCTCTTCTGCAGTTCTATGGAGTTTCCAGTGTAAGTCGTCATCTTGAAACGTTGTTTTGCTCCATACCAATCACAATACTGAACACTATGAATACCTAATGTAGGACACCTACTAAGTAGTTCCAGTAAAACTGCTTGTTTGCCATTGTAAATTATGTGCTGAAATAAATGTAATCAAATTGTAGCATAATGTTAGCTCTCTTGCTCATAGCTTAGTGAAAGTGCTCTATGAGTGGAGGGAAATAGGAACATCTCCTGTTGCCAAGTCATAGCCAGGGTTCATCCTATTTACTGGAGTAAATTCAACGTTTCCATTGCATTAGAACCTTCTAAGATGGTATGGATTCTTCCAGGTATTAGGAAGGACCTAATGTAAGGTATGAGAGGGGGGATAACATAGGTATAGGACCCTGGCTGGATTGAAACCGCTGCAGTAAGGAGCTTTGATACAATTACAATACAATAATTAATAATCTTTTGTTTTTTTGTTTTTTATTTCTCTTTATATTCCTTTGTTGTCCTGCTTTTGTGCAAATATGTTTATCTTTGAGTATGTATTGTGTGTGTATGTAATGCATGTG